ATGGGATTTTGGAGAACACAAAACTACGGATACATTAAAAAAAATCAGTGGTTGCCAGGCATTAGGGAGGGGAGGGAGGAGAGGGAGGGGAGGGAGGGGAGGGAGGGGAGAGGGGTGGAGGGTGGAGCACAGGAGTTCCAGGGCAGTGACACTATTTGCTGTGGAGCTGTAGTGGTGCGTACACAACATTACCAAAGGAAAACTCTGTTTCCTCTGCTCACAGCACTTCAGACATCAAATGTGTTTGTGTTCTTCCCACACCAACCAATTCTCCAGCTTTCCAGACACCAAACGGGTGTCCTACAATTCAGTTCCCACACTAACTACCCAGAGTCTGCACGGCTCCCACCAGTTAAGGACTCAGTTCCCCAAGACTGCCCCCACTTCAGATGCCAATCACAAGTAGTGGGTCCACACTTATAAGGCTCACACTTATGCCCACCTTGGCTTTAAATTGGTGTTCCCGTGACCTCATCTTCAGATCTGATAATTTCCTCTAATGACTCGTGTAACTCGGGGGGACACATCATAAAAGATATAATGAAGGCTATAAACACACGGCCAGATGAAGATGTATGAAGAAGGTGCAGGAGCTTCTGCCCCTGTGCGATTGGAGTGCATGACCCTCCCAGCGCTTATTTGTGTTTACCAACCGGAAAGCTCCCCGAACCCCTTAGTTTGGGGATTTTTATGGAAGCTCCCTCACATAATTGTGATCGATCACTAACTCAGTCTCCAGCCCCTATCCCTTCTCCAGAGGACACAGCATGGGACTGAGAGTTCCAACGGTCTAATCACGGCTTGGTCTTTCTGGTGACCAGAACCCACCCTGAAGCTATCCTGGAGCCCACCTGGGCTCCTGTCATTAGAACAAAAGACACTCCCATCACCCAGCAAATTGCAAGCAATTTACGCGCTCTCTGTGGGATACTTTTACCAACCCCATCACTCAGAAAGTAACAAAGGTTTTAGGAGGGCTGTGTCAGGAATTGGGGGTCAAAGACTAAGTGTTAGAAAAGATGCCTCCAGCACCCCTATCACACAGGAAATTACAAAGGTTCTAGGAGCTCTGCATCAGGAACTGAGAGAAGAGACCAAACCTGTACTTCTCATTATGTCCTAGGTGGATATGTGACATCATACATTCAGCAAAACCCATAGGATGGGACAACTCAGAGATAACCAACCCTAATGTAAACTCTGCTCATTATAACACACTAACATTTGTTCTCCATTCGTGACCAATGTATCACCCTAATGCAAGGGGAGACTGTAAGCAGGGAAGAAAAGGAACTTCCGTATGACCTACTTAATTGTCTGTAAATCTAAAACTGCTATAACAAAACAAAGTATGTTAATTTTTTTAAAAAGAGAAAAAAAATTAAAATAGTTGTTTGGCAAACTGCTCAATGGAAAGAGTAATATAATAGTTAATGAGAGGAACTTAGTACAGAAAGAATCTAATTAAATCACTGTTTAATAATCCATGTTTGATCAGAACTGTCTGCCATGAGACCATATCAAAAGAAGTTACAGTCTCCATGCAATTGGGAATAAGAGTTGAAAGGAAGTTTACACTGATGTAAACCATGGGCAGATATAGATAAGAAAGATAATGCTATATACTTTCAAAATCAATGAGTCCCTCAGGACCTATTTTCACAAAACTTGTTTTATCTGACATTTGATATCTCATCAAGGTTCTGTTCAAATAGTAAAAGCAGATGAAGATGCCCAGAGAAAAATAAAGATAGAAATAATTTTTTATGTAAATCTAACATGTACTAGCCAGGGTTTTTGCAGAGAAGGCTGGCTGCACTATATTTTGTTATTTATGCCTTGTATCCTTTTCATTCTATTCTTCTGTAGAAGTTACATCCATGTATTACACTGGTTTTCAAACAGTGTTGAGAATCTTTCAGTCTGACCCTTTCTATGCACAGCAGGAGTAGACCAAGGAGACTAAGGCTTTCCTGAATCCAAATTTTGTGTCTAGAAGTCTTCTTTTGAATTTTATAGAGCTAGTATTCATACGTCACTGATAAAAAATGTAACTATAAAATTATCCTTTTAGTTCTTAGACGGGTTATAGTGAAGGGTTTAGGATTAGGTCAGTCCCTGTGACTATGAAACATAAAACACAGACTCCATCAAAGGTCAGGACTCAAGTCTTCTGATATTGCAGGCAGTGTTCTTTTCCTAAAGTATGCCATCTCTTGTATGGCTCCTTAACCACCCCTCTGGGTCTGGCTTTCCTGTCTGCAAGAGTCAAACCCGGGCTCTACTGTTTTGATAAAGGTTTTAAAATTATTATAAAAGTAACATACAATCACTGTAGAAAACTTGGCAAGAGAAGAAGCGAGAGTAATTGAAAGAAGAGGAAGGAAGGGAGGGAGGGAGGGCTGGGTAGAAGGAAGGAGTGAAAAAAAAAGTCACTTAAAATCTCAGCACTCTAAGTTAAGGAATGTAAGATTTTATTGTTCACCACCCTGGATATTTGTAATATTCTACACACTTTTGTAACTTGCCTTTATCTGTTTTACATCTTTCGGTGGGAGGCTGTATCTCGAGTTGGAAGGTGGCAGAAACTGTGTAGCTAGTGAATGAGAGTCCGAGTGTTGGAACTCGACGCCTCGTTCACATCCTGGCTCAGCTTCTCCATAGCTGTGTGACCCTGAGCAGACCGCTCCACCTCTCTGTTATCTCAGTTTCCCATCTGTACAATGGAGATAAAAAATAATAACTGCTTCTTCATAGAGTCCATTGTGAAGATTCAACGGCTTAATAAATTTAAACCACTTATCACTGTGCCTGGTATAATGTACACTCTGTATCAGGGTCAGTAAAAAGCCCAACAGAGCCCTGGCTGGTGTAGCTCAGTGGATTGGGCAAGGGTCTGTGAAGCAAATGGTTGCTGGTTCGATTCCCAGTCAGGGCACATGCCTGGGTTGCAGGCCAGGTCCCCAGTAGGGGACACATGAGAGGCAACCACACACTGATGTTTCTCTCACACTCTTTCTCCTTCCCTTCCCCTCTCTCTAATAAATAAATAAATAAAATATTAAAAGGGAGGAAAAAAAGGCCAAAAAGCCAAACAAGGTCATGTGGTTTCCGTTGCAACTCCTCAGTGATGCGTTTGTAGCACAAAAGCAACTGTAAATGAACGAGGTGGCTGGTTCCAATTAAACTTCATGGTCTCTGAACTTGAATTTTATATAATTTGTCACATGTTATAAAATATTATTTTTCTTTTGATTTTTTAAACTATTAAAAAATGCACATTTTTAACTCACAGTTTGTAAATAATTCAGCAGAAGGTTGGACTTTTGGGCCATAATTTGCTGACTTCTCTTCCATAAAATTAATAGACATTATTATGTCTATTATCTTTATATAAACTGTTTTTAATGGTTGCTTATAACAAGATTGTTTGGATGTCCTATAATTTACTTAGTTCCCTAATGTTAGAATTTAGATTATTTCCAGGATTCATTATATAAGTCACACTCCAATGAATATCCATGCAAAATCTTTGTGTACATTTATCAGTACATCTGCATCCTAAAGTGTATTTAGTGGTAGCTACCAAAATAGCTGGCAGAGCATCAAGAAAGAAATACTTGGAAGAAATGGCCTTGGAAACTAATCTTATGTAGTTAGAGCAAATTTCAAACATGTTAGAGGAGCTTTGTAACATATATTTATATACACAGACCTATGTATCATGTGCCATTCTAAGTCATATATGTGTGTATACATATATATACACACACATACATACACACACAAAATAATCTATTAGTCTTCAGATAATTCTAGGAGGTACAGTTGCAGTTGTCACCAGGAGCAGCAGTAGCAGCCCCATAGAACAAAAGAAGAAGAAACTGAGGCATAGTAAAGCCCAGTAACTTCCCCAAGGTTACACAGGTAGCTGGTAGCACAGGCAGAATTCAAACCTGGTCTGTCCAGCCTGTGATTGAACCCAATGCTGAACTGACCCTTCACGGGTGAGACTTGGCACTCCTAGCTACATTATACTGTACCTATAGTCTTTTGTATATTTTGAGCATGTTTGGCACGCACGAGGGACCTCAGACTCTAACAGGCACAAATTTTATCCCATAATGGGACCTTGTGTGGGAACTGTGAACGCCCACCTAACCTTCTTCTTTTGTCCTCCAACCCTCCCCTCATGCCAACTCTTCATTAATTTGCCCTGCATGTCTTACCCAAATAGTTGTCCTCTATAAACAGTAAAGATTGATTGGAGCATCTTTTCACATCTTCTTTTCCAATTTAAGGCCCCAAATATATCAAATTTACGCGGCAAATTTGGTGAAGCTTTGCTTATAATGGAGGGACCTGCAACGCAACTGGAATGCAAATTTCGGGGAAACACTTTCCTTTGAAAGCGGCTGGTGTCAAAAGTCTCCAGCTTGGCGACAGCAGCGGCAGCAGCAGCAGCAGCAGCAGCAGCAGCAGCAGCGGGGCGGGCTTGCTCGGCCCCTGCCGAGTCCCCGAGGGAGGTGTCCTGCTTCTGGGGACCAAACCGCCAGCCTCCGCGGGAAAGCTCAGACGGAGTGCGTGCTCTCCTGGCCGTTCCCTGCTCGTGCTGTAGGCGACTGTCCCAGAAAGGAGTTATGGGAGTGAGTCGCTTGACTTTTGAGGGGAAATGCAGATCATAGTTCTCATTTCTTATCCTGACTTCTCTCTCCGCTGGGACTTTACTGCTCGAGTTGTACCCCCGGTATAAAGGACCGACGCCGCCGGTCCCAAGATGCCGCCCCCCACTCGTGCCCAAACAAGGATAGACTCGAGAAGTCGGGAGGAAACCAGGAAAGACTGAAGCGGGTGTTTCAAAGTGACCACCGTTGTGCCCTAGGCGGTGCGGGTCACGGAGCCGGAGGGGGAGTCCGGTGGCAGCCCCGGCTCCGCCCGCCGGGGGACGCGGGGGCGCCGGGCGCGTGCGCGGTGAGGCCCCGGCCCGGACGCGCGGCGGCGATGCCTATTTTAGTCAAAGGCACTGCCCGCGCGGGGATCCCACCCAAGCCGGGGAGCCACCGATCGGCGCGGGCTCTCTCCTCGGGCGCCCGTGGAACCGGCGCACCCGCGTCCCTGCGCCCCGCTGGCGGCTGCCCCAAACTTTGGCCGGCGCCGGGGACAAGCCAGGTAAGGAGCCGAGGCGCAGCCGCCAGCGAGAGCCCGGCGGTGTGCAGCCTCGCGCTCCCAGGGCTGAATCGGGACGCGAAAGTTGGGTCCCCGCTCGGCTGTGAACTTCTCCGTCCCGGCGGCGGCTGCGTGCTCTCCGCGCCCCGGCCGCCCGGCCGCGCCCTCTCCTGGCCGGCCGCGCCCTCTCGGGGTTCCCTGCCCTTGGAAGCCGCTCCTCTCCCCGGGTGTCGGCGCGGAGGCCACAGACCCTCCGGACTCAGCTTCGGCAACTCGGGTTTGGGAGCGCCGGCGTCCCCGGGCGCTCGGGTCCCCTCGCGTGCGGGTTCCCGCGCTTTGCCCGGGGCTTATCCTGGTGACCTCGGCCTGTCTCTTCCTGCTGGGCTCCGGGGGTTCCCTGCCCCTGAACCGCTACGGCTCCTCCTCTCGCCCTGTAGGGCCGCCGGGTCCTGCTCGGAGGCGGTGTACGGTGGTGCGAGGTGGAGGTGGAACACCGCGCTCAGTCCCGGTCTCTCGTGGTCCGAGAGCTTCGGGTCGAGGAGAACCGTGGGCACTGACCCTCCTTTAAGGAACCAGGTGAGCGGGGCCTTTGCGGGCGGAGAAGGCTAGAGATCCTCGCCACTACTACCCCCACCACACACACAGACACACACACACACACACACACACACACACACACACACACACCGCTTGTCCAGACAAGTCATAGAAACTGCTTGTTTTTAAGTGATAAAAGACTCAACGACATAATGCCCTTTGGGATTCCGAAGATGTACAAAGCTTCAGTTATAATGACAGAATGAACTGAATAACTATACTAGCACGACTTCTGCTCGCTGCTGTTATCTTTTTCATTTTCATAGTTCGGTGCAAGGCTAAGGTTAGTTTCAGCATTTAGCTTTGTAGCCCTGCAGACACCTATTTGAAAACCAATAGATAAGCAGGACTTTACTAAACAGGTAGTTTTAGGAATTAGACCCTGAAAACTAATAGAAGAAAGCAAAGTTTTCGCAATTTAATCAAAATTAACCTGAACGTTTATCAATTTACCAGTCTAATCTTCATCATTAGACCCACTCATTCTCTGTGTAAGGATAGTTGAGTGCAAACCACTTTTATCATGAATACCGTTCAAAGGGAACTGATACTGGCAAGATCCTATCAATATTTATTGACAGTAGGTAACTGACACTTCAAAATAGGCATACAGGTAAAGATACATAGGCAAATAATAGACAATAGATAAATATACAAGTAAATAAATGATATATAATATTAATTAATATACAATGTAAAAATACATAGAATTTTAAATATATATACTGTATGTATATCTTTAATAAGGCATAGTGTATCAAAATATGTTGTAGGATGATGTCACCTTTTAAAAATTTATATTATTATTTCCCTTGTTCTTGGGTTAGTTGATTGTAGTTTTCCTATCATTTCTCTTGGACCAGGAATTGGTACCTTTAGTGCCCCTGCAGAAAATTTAAAAGCCTGAAATTGAACTGCAGTGACTTAGTTGGCAATACAAGTGTAACCCGGTGGATTGGGGGGGTGTATATGTAAATGTGTATTAGAGATGCAGGCTATTAAAACTCAAAGAGGTTCCACCTGGCCCAGCCTCCTTTGTTCCCAGAGAGAAGAAGACAGAAGGGGCAGAAGAGATTTTCCCTGGCTTAGGGGGCTCCCCAGAGCTGGTGCTATAGACACTAAGTCTCTCAATTCAGGAAGGGTAGGATTCTGTTATCCTTATTGCTGAGGTTTGGGAAGACCGAAAAACAATTTCAAGCTGTGTTCCCCATTGTTTATGTCCCTTTCCTATGGCCTTCACTCTGGCATCCTCTACACGGATGCGTACGACATCATCCCTGCCTCAAGGAGACCATAGGGTAGTCAGAAGAACAAATAGGACAATGGGAGTGGAAGCACATTCTAAAGTGCCATGGAAATGGTAGTCGTTGTTAGCTTATGTGATGCTAATGCATAGGCTGACATCGATGTTAGTTTATGAGTGATACAGGACATTTAATATCATTCTCCGTCCTGCAGAAAGTATTAGATTCATTCTGGTTTGGTCCTTGAAAGCAAAATTTGTATAAGTTATTAAAATAATGATGCTTCTCCCCAACCCCAGTAGGCTTATATTTTTATTGATTCAAACATTTGGAAAGTAGTTGAATTTTTATGATTTCTTTACTTTTGCAGAAAATCAATATCTAAGTCAATACAAGATTTCTTTTGTATTTATGAGCTATTTCAGAATTAGGTAAAAAGATCTTTAATGAATTTGATCATTTCATTCACAGTTTGTAAGTTGGTGTGTGTGTGTGTGTGTGTGTGTGTGTGTGTGTATTTAATCATCTTAAGAGGTGTGGAGTTCTTTACACATGTGTCTAATAACATCCTTTCAGCATGCCCAACTTGTGCCAATTATTCCTACTACTGACAACCTTTAGTATGACAAAAAAAGTGAATGGAAAAGTATGGTTAACTGACCTTATTTGGAAACAAATATATATTTTAAATTAAATTCAAAAGTATTTTTGGTTCCCATTTGGAATTCTTTTTTTGAACCACCATAATTAACCTATTCTGTAAATATACATAGTTTTCTTCAGGAACCAATTCATATAATTAATAACAGAAAAGTAGAAAAAAGTTTTTTTAATCTGTCCAGAGGTATAAATAAGTAAAAACAGTTTTTGTTCCTCAAATTTAATACCATTGCTTCTTATAGTGTCGAATACATGTCTTTACTAAGTAAAATTGTTCTAACTCTGTATGAAATGTATGGCTTTTTAAATACCAGAGTTGGAGGATAGGTAATATGGTCAGAAAGTAGTGCCACTTTATGTAAAATACATATTCTTTGACATGTATTTCCTACAGATTTTAATATTAAATAGTTAAATGTATATTTATGACCTACATGTAAGTAAAATGGAAGTTTATTACTTTTCAATTTGTGAAATGCAGCCAACTAGGATTTTTATGGGAAAGAAAGTAGAGATTTAAATTAAACACTAAAAGGAGTAAATGTTATATCTTTCTTTATATCTATAAGTGAACAACAATATAAAACTAGAACCTTCTAAATATCCTGTCTTCATATTTAAATATGAGGTTGTTCTTTTTTCTTAAGTTTTTCAAAAGATCAGTTATTCCAGTTATTCTTCCTGTTTTTATATTTAGTGTCACTATTGGAAATATGGCGGAAAACTATATTAAATACTCTGTAATTGTTGTAGATCATGAACATCAGCACTTATCTTTCAGACTAGCTAATTCCACCCTTCCATTTTCTCTCACCATCATGTATGTTTATATACAGATAAATAGTATTACAGATAGGTAGATATGCATATGTACACACATGTATATCAGAGAATAGTGTGTTATGCTAAATATTTTATGTATTCTATCTCATTTAATGGTAGAGACAAATATTAGTCATAACATCAGATGAGGTATTATTATAATTATTTAACAAATAAGGATTCAGTATGTGCCAGAGCTGGGGTTTGGACTTGGGTCTAACTCACACGTGGCGAACACCAGGCCCGAAGACCAAATTCAGCCCTCCACCTTGTTTCTACTGGGTGGTAGTGCCAAGCTCCTTGCCCCTAGTTAGGGAGTAGTTACATTTATACAATCCTAAAATTACGTTCAGCTCTCTGAAGACAATCTCAAGGCCAATGGGGCCCCTGGTGAAAATGAGCTTGACACCCCTGGTAACTCATTAGCCACAGAGAACTCTATTTACCAATGTTTATCTGCAGAAACAATGTTGGTATAACATCTATCAGGGTGATAAGATACAGCTGTCATTTTTATGATTGTCCTATTATTTGTTTTTACAGGACTTTTCAAGATGAATTACACCGAGTCCAGCCCATTGGCAGAATCAACAGCAATAGGTTTTACACCTGAGTTAGGAAGTATTATATCTGTGCCTTCCAATGAGACAACTTGTGAAAACTGGAGAGAGATACATCATCTAGTTTTTCATGTAGCAAATGTTTTTTTTGCAGTCGGGTTGATTATTCCAACTACTCTTCAGCTCCATATGATACTTCTTAGAGGGATGTTAGCTATAGGTAAGATACCTGATTGAGATTCTATGCAACTTTTCTGTAGCTGGCATCAGGCGGGATTTGTACTGAGAGCTTTAGAGAATTCCTTCTCAGATCTGCAGCGTACCAAAAATATGTCTTTGTCACTGAATTAGCTGTGTATCAGGTAACTTGGAACATAGGCCTTCACGTGCCATACTGTTCCCTTACTTTAGCTAAACCTTTGTATGTTTTTCATATGCTGTTTAGATTCCCCAGATATCAGAAAATCCATTCGCGTGTAGAAGTGTTGATTTTGGCGCCAGATTGTGTGATTTGAATCCTAGTCCCAACACTTGCTAACTATGTAACTGGAGCAAGTGATTTAACCTTTCTATACCTCAGTTTCCCTATGTCAAATAGGGTAAAAATAATACCACCACCTAGGGTTGTTGTGAATATTAAATGAGTGTGTGTGCACATTTGACTTATAATAGAACCTGACACATAGTCAGTACTACATAGTCTTAAATATTACTATTTGAACAGGCATACACTTGATATGGCAGCAAAGCAATGTTAGGAGCAAGAGCAATTACCCAGACACACAGTTTAAATAAAACTTTTTTTTTGGCCCCAGTAACCCTGATGACGCAGATTAAATTGATTCACCTCAAAGGATTAAACAATCAGATTTATTATTTGAGCCCATGATTCTTGGGAAATTACTCTGTGATTATTTCCCTAATGATTCATTCATTCAGGTGCATTTTTGAGCACCTGTATTAGGTCAGACAAAAATTGAAGAAGATGCTCTCCATCCTTGAGGAAGACACTCTTTTGGGGGCTGGAGAAAAACAGATGGGTGGTCACACGCGATGCAGGCGTACTCCGTGTCAGGGAGCAATGGAGAATGATAGGCTTAGCAAGAACGGTGGAGCAGGGTTTCCCTAAGGAAACGGCATTGGAGCTGGCTTTTGGGAGATGAGAATTTCTTTGAGTATCAGAATATGTGGTATGCAGGTAAAGGCACAGAGGAGAAGGAAATTCAGCATGTTTAGAGAGAACAAAGAGTAGCTTATTGTACATATGAATGATGACATGAAATGACCAGGGAAGAGGGACCAGCGTGTTGAATGGAAAAATAATAATATACATTACAAAATCAAAAGCTAACTATAAATTTGAAGACAGAGTTTTGGAGGTGGAATGAACCAAAGAGATCATTTAGTCCAACACATAATGAAGAAACCGAGGCCTGACTATGTTGAATGACTCACCCAAAACTACGGTCCTGGCCTGACTGGGACTGTAATTCTGCTCCTCCCCCATTGCTTTGGCCTTTCCATTATGTTACCTTGTCTCATTTAAGTAATTTTTTTTTTCAAATTTTGCCATGAAATATTTAAAGAACATTTAAAACTTTACATTTTATGCTGTTATTCAGCTGCCTCAGATTAATCTGAGGAAATAAAAAATTGCAAATGAATAACTTTTAAACATGAGGTTAGCTTTTATGTCTGTGTTATTGATATGTACCATATTGATCATTTTATTTTAAGTTAGAAATGTATATTGATGCTCTCACCATAAAATTAATCAAAAGAAGCTTTTGCTATTTTATTTAAAGTAAGAATCAAAAAGAAAAACTAGGAAGACTCTCATAGATGAATGGGTAACCACCAAGTGAAAATCAGGATGGTCAGAAGATTTGGGTAAAGTAGTCCAAACTCACCAAAGTCAGGGAAATGCAAAATATAATTATACAAATTATATAAAACTCCTTACTATCAAATTAAGAGTTTTCAAATTTTATAAAATTGACAGCGTGATACTGGCATTCTCAACTAGTAGGATTGCAAATTGCTGGAAAATGATTCTTCAATGTCATCAAAAGCACTGAAGTTCACTCCCTGGACTCACTGTCAAGTAAACCACCCAAAGCAAAGAGCCACAAAAACATCAATTTTTACATATAAAGATGTTTTGGCTGCTTATCAAAAATGACAACTCATACAAGTCTCATCTGTCCACCAATAGGAAGATGGTTGAATAAATTATGGTATAATCAGTTCTAGTTGTTAAAAACTACATACACAGAGAGTTTTTAATACAATGGGAATATTGCTGCCATAAGTAAAAGAGTAGGTTTTAAAATTATATACGGTAGTTTTGCCATCAGGTAAAAATGCATAGAGACTAAAGTATTAAATATCAATATTGGTTTTCTTTAAGTGATAGAATTATGGATTTTTTCCTTATTTAAAAAATATGCTCTACCTACAAATTTTCGGCAAGAAAGCATGTTTTTCTTTTTTCATAATCAGACAAAAAACCAAAATGAAACTTAATGGGACATTTGGCTTATGCATTTTTAGAATGTGTTTGGTTTATTTTACAAATTTATTAAGCTTCGCACTGAAGCTTTTCTGAACATCTAACGTTTCATTTTTTCAACAGGATGCTCCCTTTACATTGTCTGGGCCACTCTCTACCGATGCGCCCTGGATGTCATGGTCTGGAACTCCGTGTTCCTCAGTGTCAACATTCTGCATCTCTCATATCTTTTGTACAAGAAGAGACCGGTAATTACTTAAAGTTAATTAGTGAGGAAGAGATTTTAAAGCTAAGAAGCTTTTAGAGTACTTTGTTCAGACTTGACAATGAGCATCTGACATTTTCAGTCCCTTCAATATCATTGCAGATGAGGCCGTCTGTTTACAACGCGCCTGGACGTGAAACATGTGAACACCATGCAATGTGTTCTGCAGATGAGGCTTTTAAACTTTTTTAAATCATTAGGGCAGTTTAGACAGGAAGCAGCGTGACAATATTGTCTCTTTCTTGACATAACTTCATCATTTCCTTGTTGATATTCAAGTGTCACTAAAGAATATCTTTGCCTAGTTATAAAATTATTCATAGGCAACTTCTATAAATATACAAGCGATTTACAAATAGCTCATGCAATATTTTTCATGCTAATTTTTCTTAATAAATCAAGTTTATTAATTAATTATTTGTTTGTTAGTTTATTTTTAGCGAGCGAGAGGAAGGGAGGGAGGAAGAGAGGGAGAGAAACATCAATGTGTGGTTGCCTCTCAGGTGGCCCCCACTGGGGACCTAGCCTGCAACCCAGGCATGTGCCCTGACTGAGAATCAAACTGGCAACCCTCTGATTGGCAGCCTGTGCTCAATCCACTGAGCTACACCAGCCAGGGCTTTGCTAGTTGTTTTTTTTTTTAATCCTCACCCAGGATATATTTAGAGAGGAAAGTAGAGAGGGAGGGGAAAAAACACTGGTGGGAGAGAGAAGCATCAATTGGTTGCCTCCCCTCCTCACCCTTCCTGGGGACCAAACCTGCACAGCCTTTCGGTGTCCAGGATCCAGCTGGGCCTCATGCTGGTTTTTAAATTAATGATGGTGTTTTTTTCTTATGCCCAAAATATTCATTTAAAGATTTCATCATCTTTAGTGAGTTGTCATCAAAACACAAGGATTTAACTTTTTCTTTTCAATGCTGATTTATCTTGCTGTGTTTCTTTGGTCATACCACGAACAAAAAGATACCAATAGAATAGGAAAATAGCATGGCTCCTAGAAATCACCTCATACAGGTTTACTGACTATCCAAAGCACACACAAATATTCAATCAAGTAAAAAATACAATGCTTACCCTAATCTTACATTCAAGGCCAGATATGTGTGGAAAACTGTTAGAAAACAGGACAATTTATGGGGAATTACAGTTTGAATGACACAGATGATATATATGTGATAGGCATTCGGCTAGACTGTAACCCAGTCTGTTTTCCATGTTGTGTTAGTTTTTCTCTGTGTTATGCTGTAAATACAGCCAGCCTCCAGAGAGGCTGTAAATTGAACAACCAGAAACCTCAGTGACAGACACCAGCAACAGGTTTTTTCCTCTCCCACCTTCTGTGTAGACTGGCAGCTGTGTGGCCCTGTGACTGTTTCATGTGTCGTCTTCATTTCAGGCTGTCTGCTGAGGTAGCGGGTTCCATTTGGGCATGCATTCTCATAGCAGAGAGAGGACAAGAGAACAAGAGAGAAACACTCAGTGTCTCTTCAAATGTCTGCTCAGAAGGGGCATCTGTCCATTCTGCTCACATTTTATTGGCCACAGCCAGTGCCATGGCCACGCCCGATAATGTGGGGCTAGGGTGGGGTAAAGGCATGTATAATCCTCCTGCAGGAGGTGGGAACAGCAAATAGTTGGGAGATACACCACACTTACCATTGTACTCCCTTTCAACCATGCGTGGCACATAATGCGTGCTCAAAAAGCACATTTGGTGAGTGGACGCGTTCGAAGAGAAGAATTGAAGGTGCGTCATGAAGGAATTAGGACTTGAGCTAAGACTTGCAGGATGAGCAGAGTATGAATATGAGTCAACAGATTTTTCAGTTTGTGTATTCATTACTGTGCCACACTGGCTAGTGTACCTACTGGAAGTGAGACTTATTTGTGAATAAGTTATTTTAAACACTCATTACTGCCGCTCTGCAGTGGAGGAGGTAGATGGTTGGAATAATGAGGATTACTTGGGGTTGCAAGTAACCCCAAGTTTTGAACAGAAGGTTTAGAAGTTGCCAATGTGATGGTAGCATCTAGTGAGTAAATCACTTAGTGTCTGAGCTTTTGCTTGTTCTCAGACTATAAACCTACTTTAAGAAAATGTATAATTTTTTTTTGTTACAATGAAACAGCAGGACAAGTAAGAACACTGCAAAGGCTGCCTTGACCTCTGAGCAGCTCTCATCCTCCGGGTCTTTAAGCTTCACTGTGTGACTGCCATAGATTTCGTTGGGACTGATGATCACTTAAACCCCAAAGTTCTTTGATACGCGCAGTCCAGCTTTCCCACACTAATGCTGGGCCCGAAGGTGGATGTGACCTGAGCCTCGATTGTCTGGCAACAGAGCCAGCTGAGCCATTTCGCTTTTCCCTTCTTCCAGTAGCCAGCCTTTCTCACTAGTGGTTCCCTAGTCTACAGGTTCTATTTTAGCTTAGGATGACGTTGCTACCCTGAAACCTTTTTACACGCTGCACTTTGCTCCGGAATAGATGGGAAGCAGTGATTGCAGCTGTGGATGCTTGTTTTCCTGTACTGGTGCATTAAATGATCATTACATGTAGGTAGAACACTTGATGTGTGCATTTTCATAAATGTGTTCCCATGTAGATTCCAATTTTGTGTGTTTATTTTCTTGCTAAATATTTTCAAGTTAGTGTAATTTCTGCAAAACAATGTTGTCCTAAAAATGAAAAGGTTTTGTGTTAATGATAAAAAATACTAAGAGTGGGAAGGTGAATGCTGTAACAACATTCAGAGTTGCTTTGTAGCACTTGGGAAGAGATGGAATCAATAGTGCAAGCCTTCCCCATCAGCTGTCCGATCCGTTTAACTGCAGAAGTGCTCTTTTAGCGTCGAGACTTCTATCACCACTTACTTACCCTCTGTGTAAGATTCCATTGACTGAGATACGGAAGGGTGATGGTACATATTACAAATTTACTCTCTAAATCATAGACCACGGAAGCCAGTGTTTTGGTGTTGCTGCATTTGTACGGCTTCTTGTCATTGCTGCATTTTAGGTGAAGATTGAAAAGGAACTCAATGGCATCTACCGGCGGTTATTTGAACCACTCCGTGTGCCTCCAGAGTTGTTCAGAAGATTAACTGGACAGTTTTGTATGATCCAAACCTTGAAAAAGGACCAGACTTATGCTGTAGAGGATAAAACCTCCGTTGATGACCGCCTGAGTATTCTCCTGAAGGGAAAGTAAGTGATCTTCTCGTGGTCTCTGGGCAGGACGTGAATGGGAGGGAGTATTGGGGGAAGTGGTCTGAGAGTTTGTTGGTGGTGAACTCTCCTTTTATGACTGCATTTTGAAATGCTACAGACCAACATATTAGTTATGTAGAATTTGCTGCTCTCAGTCTTGTATGTGTCAGGATTTTCAATTGTAAACCTTGTTAATCTTTTTTGACCTTTTATTTAAAGTTAATGAGTCATGCCCTGGCTAAGTAGCTAAGTTGGTTAGAGCTTTGTCCAGATACACCAAGGTTGTGGGTTCATCCTCAGTCAGAGCACATCTAGGAGGCAACCAATGAATGTATAAATGGGTAGAACAGCAAATCATTCTCTCTCTAATTCGTAAATAAATCTTTTAAAGTTATGAGTCAAAATTGAAGTAGGTTTAAAGTAGGCATTGAAGTTCAAGAAACTTGTTTGTGTTTCAGAGGTGATTATTTGTTGAATATCACAAATATAACTTCTAGGAGTATCGGTTTTCTGGAGAGAAAGATTGTATATTGTTCTGGCATAATAATTACTACTGCCCTTTCTCTCTCAGAAGTGTCTGAGTTTGGATGTAGTTACTGAAGTAGATGTAAGAGCAAAGACACCCGTGGGAAGGCATATGTCTGGCTCGGTACTGGAACCTGTCTTATTGTTGGTGAAATTTATTTTGAAATAAATAGTTATCTTCAGGAAGTACTTTTAATTATGTCAGTCATCTGTGGAGTCTTTAAAACTTTAGTACAAAATACAAGCCCATAAGATTATGAGGACTTTAAGGATTGTTATGTTGTTTGTGAAATATTATACACTTATTAACGTTAATTTCTGTTATCAGAATGAAGGTCTCCTATAGAGGACATTTTCTGCATAACATTTACCCCTGTGCCTTTATAGATTCTCCTGAATTTAGATCAACTCAGATGCACAAAGGTGAAAAATTCCAGGTATGTTTTGGCCTGGGTTTTATTTTGGTTTTTATTTATTTACTTATTTACTTTATTTATATATTTATTTTAAATTGAGGTAGACTCAATTTAGACTCAAACAATTAAATATTTGAGTCTATAGCCACACCACCCAGAACACTCCTGGTCTCATCTAAATTGAGATATATTTGATGTGTAACATTATATTTGTTTCAGGTATACAACATAATGGTCCAATATTTGTATATATTGCAAAATGACACCCCAATCAGTCTAGTTAACATTCATTACCATACAGTTATATATATTTTTTTGTGATAAGATTTTAAAATCTGGCATGATTTTTACAAAGATTGAAACTGGTTTATGTCTCATTAAATTTCATAGGATATAGAACGTGACCACGATTTATTGAAAAAAGAGTTTACTGTGTGGTATATACAGCATGATCTCATTTTTATATGACTTTGAATAGTGAATATCTGTGCACAAAAGAAGTCCAGAAAGATCTATCCTAATTTGTTTGGTGAGCGCTTTTGGTCAAGTGTTAACACAGTTACTTGGTTTGTTGAGTTTGATTGCTTTTTTGTTTTCTTTCTTTTTGCCTGTTTGAATTTTTATAATTTTCCATGGAAAACATCTAATGCGTTTATTACAGGAAGAAGGAAAATGTTAGAGGTGAATAATCAGTGTCCCTAAAACGTGTAACTGGTTACTTTTACTGGGGAAAAATGGAAAATGGGCTTTGCCCTAGGAAATTTATGTTGTTGAAAATCATCGTGCAAATCTAATCACTTTACTCTTTTATATTTAATGGATGTATTTGAGGGCAAAGAATGAGGTTTTTCATAGTTATAACAATTTGAACATGGACTACTCAGCATGATTTTTTTGTACCTTGAAAAAAGTTGCTGTGTGCTGTGGCACTTAGTTGTGACTCTTTCTGTAAGTGCCCACCCTCCTATTCTACTTCCTCATTCTTGGTAAGGAAGTCACCAAGGAAGTGGGTGACAGCTTCCTGTAGTCCCAGCCTCTAGACGCACAGCAGTAAGGGAAGACCCTCTGAACAGGGTTGCGTATGGGCAGGAGGGTAAGCCTGTCTCCGTAGGTTTAGAAACGGGGTAGAAGGGAGTGTTACTGCCTGAGGGAGGAAGAGCCAGTGATTCTCGAGGATGGATTATTTTTGTCTCATTTTGAGATGCTGTTCCATTTGGTTGGGATGCTGCATGGAGATCAAAGGGCATTTTACAGACACACTGCTTAGCCCTGCTCCCACGAACAGCATGACTCGTTAAAGGGATGTACACTTACTAGAGGATCTCAGAGAAGTCCACTAGCTGGCTGCAATGCTGCTCCCAAGCTGGTTGAGCTTAAGCTGCAGAAGAAAGCAAATGCTATATCCCGGCCCCTCTGATTTTCATCTTGTGCTTACCAGAGTCAGCTGTGCACTGAGGTTTATGTTCCTGTTGTCTCCATGATCACCATCGTCTGCAAACTAGAATGGGGCCAGTTCCTTCCTCTGTCCTTCTTTCTTCCGACCTCCTTACAGTTTTCTTTTTCCAAAGCCCGACTTTTGTCTGTTGCGTCTGTTTCTGTGTGTGTAGTAGTATCAGTGAGATTCTTCCCAAGAAGTCACACATGGCACTGCTGAGGTACCCTACTAACTCAAGAAGCAAATTTATTTTACAGAGCTTTAAATGTCTCAGTATTGACTTATAAAAATTCCTCATTAAAATATGTTTTACCAGACTGTTGTGGCAGGAAATCATTAACTACCCACTTCCAACTAAGTACCTGCTCTTACGGACTTGTAAGTTACTCCTACATACTGCTGTGATAGCTTATTATTAGAATACTATTATTAAGTTTGAATTTAATAATAATTTAAACATGTTTAAAGAATTTTTCAACCAGAAGAAATGGATTTGCTAAGTAAATTATATTATCATATTAAAAGTATCATTGCCTCCGTGGAAATGAGGTTATTAAAATGGTTGAAAAGAAGTTCTAAATGCCTTAATTGTCACCTGGATACAATTTCTTCTTCTCTTCTCCTGGATGCTTTCCAGCTCCTTTTAAACTTTTTGTCCCATTGTACGTGAATTATATTTTCCAAAGTCATGGATAAAATCTTTGCACAGTGAAGGCACCTCAACTCTGCAAAGCCTTTCTTCAGCCCTTACAGGCATGGCTGGGCTGCCGTGAATACCCAGGGCTCAGCTTCCTCTAATCACTCCCGTGGATATTATTCAGGCGCCTTGCACCTGTTCTGGGAACTCCTACTGTTTCTGGGAACTCCTAAGGACTGGAGTTGACCTTACACGTCTCATCCTATAAATCTTATCTTTTTTGTTATATGTTCTTACTTATTATGGCTTCTTCCACTGGAATATAGGCTTTATGACATGCGCTCAGCTATTCTTTGTCTGAGGGACTTTCAATGGACTGTGAGCCCACTTTGTGGTCACTTGGTCAGATTACTCTGTTTTTGATCAACTCAGAGAATATTAGACACAGTGGGTGGGATGTGGCCTGGCAGGAAAATATGCCTGGTCTGAAAGTGCTCACTCCCCCACTGATTAACATGTGTTCATGAATACGTGTTTTGGTGCATCTCATGTGTTATCTGAAAAATAGGGAAGAATATTACCTGTCTTGTCTTAAAGGCAGTTTTGAGGATCCATTTATATGATAGATATAAAAGCACCTTAAATGTTGAAATGTACAAAACACATAGACACTGAATGGTATTACATGCAACTGCCATTCCCTCACCATTCTGTATCACTTTCCCCTGTTTTATATTCGTGCAAAATACTTAGTGCCTCCCGAGGGTGTCATACTTTATTTATTTATTATCAGCTCCCTTTGTTAAAATGTCAGCTTCACGGGGCCAGGATCTTGGCTCTCTCGTTCACTGTTGTACCAGAGCCATATTTGTTCGTAACGGCCTGGACCCTCAACCAATTCACGAGTCGCTGTTCTCCTTCTCTAGCGTATGTTTGCAGAGTTGGCTGAAGGAGGCCTTTCATCTGTAACTTGGCCTCATGAATTTCATCTCGGTGCAGTGTTATTTGTTATTTTATGTGAGGCTATATTCTCGAACCTCTGTTCTCATCTTTAGCCATAAATTGTACATCCAGTTGGAACAGCGGCCCAATCCACTCCACAGCAGCGCTGCTGACACAGTGGTTACTCCTCCATCCCCAGGCCGCGAAAACCACCACTACGGAGCTCGGAGAGTGCTTTTGTTTAGTCTTCAGGTTGTGTGGTTTGTAACATGATTTTATACATAGTTATAGAAGTTTAGAAAGTATGGATGGATCTCCTTTTAATATGACAAATCATTGCTATAATATTATTCATTAAATTCTTCTTCTCCTCCCCCAAATTACTACAGTCATAATTCATGTACAAAGATGTACTTGTTTCTTTCTGTGTTTCTTCATCAGGTCACCATTGTTGCCGACGATAACTGCAGGATTTTATGCTGGTCAAGAGAAAGATTAACTTACTTTCTGGAATCTGAACCTTTCCTATATGAAATATTTAGGTATCTTATAGGAAAAGACATTACAAATAAGCTCTACTCATTGAATGATCCCACCTTAAATGATAAAGTAAGTGTTTTACTGAGTGTGTTTATTTTGTTAAAGAAATATGTATGGTGAAATATACCTCACTTAATACAGCATATGAGGGAGATCCCCCAAAACTGGAAGGCTTCCCCCCCTAGGTGAGTGTTCTAGGAACCCATCTGTAGCAGTGCACCAGCTGGTGGTGTGCGAGAGGCTGTGTTGGGCTTCAGTGGATTTGTTTTGAAGACTCTTTCAGTGTGTGGGCCTGCTGCATGATGGGTGATTTCCAAGCACACCTGCCCACACAGGCTGAGTGTTCAGCAGTTTGGGGCCAGAAATGGCGTGACCCCCATGCCTCACCCTCCGGATCTCGTCCCGAAGCAATCTTTTTTTGCTTTCCTGGATGAAAAAGAGTCCTCAAAAAGAAACATTTTTGCCTATGTGGAGGAGGTGAAACAAAAAACAGCAGAAGCACTAACAGGCATCAAAATCGATGAGTTCGAGAACTGTTTTGAGCAGTGGAAAAAACATCTTGATATGTGTTTCAAATAGTACTTTGAGGGTGCTGAAGTTTAAACATGTAAGAATTAATACACAATTTTTAATAAATAATATCCATTTTGGGGGGTCCCCATGAATTTTCATTATTCAGTCATATGTTAAATGAAGTGGAAAAGCCTTCAGGCAATTATTTCTCAGGAGGGAGGAAACGTTTTGTAACTATTATATTTGCCATTACCTAGTGAGGTGTCTCTAAATGTCAGGGACCTGCACAGATGGTGAACAGGTGCTGTCCTCTTCATAAAGGGTCATTTGAGGACTCTACAGGAGATGGTCAGTGAGTTGTCATATGAGCTTGGGAGGAGTAAGCCAGGGAAGGCGGGGCAGTGGGGACGGTGCCTACTGAGAAAGGCCAGCAAACCCCGGGGAGCAGGAAGCTGCCTTTTAACCCTGGGTCTTCCATCTTGCACATCCTCCTGGCCCGTCACTTTCCAGAAAGCCCACAAGTGACAAGAGAGGTATAGGATGGAGGTCTGTAGCAATTCAGTTTAGATTTTCAGAGCTGTACAGATCTTCAACAACTTACAATTACATATTCCTTTTCCCCTCTTTGCTTAGAAGGAAATTAAAATGATCACCGAAGAGAACTTGCAAAACATCATTCCAGGGATAAGCACTGCTCTCCAGGGACTAGGAGTGTGGGAGTGGGCTCTCTTAAGGTCGCCTTTTCTAAGCTGGTTATTAAAGTAGGTTGGTGCTTATTATTGTTAGAGGAATAAATAGGCTATTTATGATATTAAATTTATTATAATATATTTATAGTAATAGAAAATAAAAATTATAGCTAACATTTATTGGGCACTTACTATGTACGAGGTAACCTTTTATTTCAAGGAAAAGTAAATGCCGCTGATAGGGAGAATGTGGTGTAAGTCCCATGGATGTCAGAAACCTCAAAACTTTGCATTTTAGAAGGCCAAGAAGTTGGAGCACCAGCTCAGCCTTTGCACGCAGATCTCCATGCTGGAAATGAGGAACAGCATCGCCAGCTCCAGCGACAGCGAAGACGGCTTACACCAGTTCCTTCGGGGCCCCTCCAGTGTGTCCTCTCTTCGTAAGTTATCCCAAAACTGATACTGCTTCGGGATTCCGATGGAGTTCATGGGAAACAGACCAATGACAACTTCGTTCACAAAAAGAACTTTGCAAGTAACTACTTAGCAGCCTACAGGTATCATTAGAAATAATCAGACTTTTTCTATCTCTGCTCCCCATATTTCATATCAGTTAAATCCAACTTTAGAGCTCTTCTTTCTGTTTCAGAAAGTGTTCACTTCTTTTGCCATGTACTTTTCTTAAATACTGGTTTACTAGAATACTGTGAAAGAGTACTTATGGTTTGCCGTATGTTCAGCTTTGTTGTTTTTATGACTTTAGTTCTAGCAAAAGCCTAGACCCGGCAGCGTGCTGAAAAGGCTAGCAAGCAACTGCTGGGTATTTTACTGCTGGCTGCCTATCTCAGTGTGAGCACCAGGAGTTAACAGGTGACCAGGTCATGGGATACCCCTGAAGGCGAAGGAGGCCACTCAGCACCCCTGAGACTCACCTCACCCACACAGGACAGAGAGGCAAGTTTTGCGAGTCCCTTCCGTAGTTTAGGTTGTTTGGAGTCATTGCAAGCACACTGATGACACAGCTGTTAAAGATCAGTAAGTAAAAGGGGAGCAGCTAGGTTATTTTAACAATTAAATGCTTAGAATTATTTTAAGAATTATTCTAAGAATGATAGTAAAAGAACTTTAAACAAATTCATCTGCAGTAGCAAAAGGACAAATTCTCCTATTGCAGAAACCAAAAACGACTTATATTTCCAATTGTATGTTAATCCAGTATAACACGTGTATCCAGGTAACTATAGATACACATTCAGCAATCCTAATTGTTATGTAAATGATCTTGTAACTTTGGATGCTTGAGATGAATTGGATAAGTATTCTAACTGTTGCATAGTTTAACAAAGGTTTGACACAGCCATGTAATTGGCGTAAGCTTTCAAAGCAAGGCTAAGCATAGGAATGCTTTGTGGATCGAAAGGAGATTTCAGGAGCAACACAAATGAGAAATTGGGAGTGGTTGTATTTTATTCCAAAGCTACTTTTTGAAAATAACTGAGGTTGACCAAAGTCTGCAGTCTACTAGCATATCGAAGGTATTGAAACAGTTTGGTGGTCCATAAGCATTTTCGAATGGGCCCATCTTCATTACCTGTATAGTGATTACATGCTACAAAAGGTCAGCAGAAAGGAAATTACAGTTAATATTGTATGGGATTATTTTTCCTATAGAAGAGCTTATTTTGTAGTTCTTGCTTTGGTTACATTTTACAGTCTTGCTCAGGAAGCATGAGAAATGGCAGTGTATATTGTATGAGCATTTGTTGACTTAAAACCAGTTTTGTTTTTCCTGTAGTATTTTATTGTATAATATAAATATTTGGGGGGGTAAAACATTTTAGGGGGAAAGGTTATGTAGAGTATGTTGTTTAAATAGAATTAAAACATGTTTTCACCATTAACATTTGTACTTTACTTGCTTTGAGAAATCTCTGTTTGCTGGTGTTCCATGGATCGGTCACATATGTTGTTGATACCGACCTGGGCTCTTGCTCTAATAATTATTAGCTCTGTGACCTGGAGGAAGTCACAACACCTTTCTTGAGTGACAGGAGCTGTCATATCTCAGTACAGGCCAGGATCTGGTCACAACTCCTGCTCTGCTGTCCTCCCTCTTCCTTGTAGTAAGTCACAAAACCACGAGTTTGATCCCGTCATTCCCCGCATGGATGATGCAGGCGCAGTGTTCGCACAGACCTGCGCTGCCCTTGCGCACAGGGTTGCATTTTCACTTCTGGTTTCCTTGTTCCCTTGTCTACCTAGACTCTAGGGATTTGCTGTACTAAAAATGTGTACAGCCTGCATAAGTTGCTCATTTAATTATTTAGCCTCAGATTTATTATGCAAAATCTTACGTGTCAATATAAATGCGTCCAGCTACATGTGTGCTTCTCTTTGACTGTGTGTGTGAGCTGCACCGCAAGTCCACATTCGTACCTGCTCCCCAGGACCAGTCTTCCTTCTGAGTCTCTTGGCCTCACTCCTGCAGTTTCATGAAAGATGTTAGGACTTGAGCCCAACATTGACACTAACTATGAACTACTTAACTCACTCCAGCATGTGATTCATTAAAAACTGGTTCTTGTTTCTCTCACTTAGGTTTTAGCTCAGAATTACTGAAGGCTGTCATTTTTCTTTCGCCAGTCCTATCAATAAGCCATCTACTTTTTCATGTTACAAATTACGCTCCTTGTAAAACAGAATGCAAAATCAATCTCCTAGGACTGTTAGGCTGAAATAACAAAATTAATCACATTTTGAGCATGTGTTCCATCTTCGTAAATGGTGGGTCCCTAACACTGGTGACTAAGCTCTTATTATTCTGAGTTTCTGATGTGCAAATGGGACAGCCTGGCAGCTGCTCTCAGCAGCGCGGCAGTTTTGTGAAAGCGAATGGGGGGGAGGGAACAAACGGCCATTGACAACGGCAGCTCCTATTTTTTCAGGTGCTCTCTATACATAATCGCATTGACTATTCACTGTAATCCTGCCCAGAGGGGGGTAAATTACTTGTTGCTAGAAGATGTGGCACTGACAGTCCCCCAGTCTCTGGCTGTGATGAAGAGGCTGCTTTCTTGCTCACGTGCATGCTGGATGCTGCTCCAGGCCCACGTCCAACTCACCCTGGGACACCACCGAAGGAGCTGTCACTGTTTGGGTCACTGCCACTCGTGGCAGAGGGAAGACGGTGGTGGCAGAATCACGCCATGGCTCTTAGAGCTCCCTCATCGAAGTGGCTCATGTTCTCTGCACCAGGGAAGTCATTTGGCCAGAACCACCGTCACTGCATGGACTTTTAATCCTCCTGCAGGGGCTGTGCTGGGAGGGGCCTGGTGAGGGAGGGAAAGCGGGGATTTTGACAGTAACACAACCTATCACAGTGAGTACTATTTCATTTTACAGATGAGGACATTGGGAAATATGAGGTGCTTATCCGCTCGTTCCAGTGTTCCAGTGCCACAGGGGGAGGTGCTGGAATGCCGACCCAGGTGTCCAGTCTGGTCCCAAAGCCCATGCTGTTAGGGCATATTGTCTCTGTGTTCGAAAAAGAAAAAATGCAAATAACATTTGACTAAGTGCTTTATAGTTGACAGGTCACTTTCACACCTGTTCTTGCATTCGAACCTTACAGCTCTGCTAGGGAGGAACAGCACTGTGGATGAGTCCACCTACCCTCCGAGAGAAGGTAGTGCTGGCCCAAAGTCACTTTCTTCCCCTCTGACCTGCTTCCTGAGAGAAACCTACCATCCCCCATCCGCCATTAGGACCAAGCAGTGCTGCCGATCGGATTTCCTAGACTGGTTAATTTCCATTTCAATGAAATTTTTGTCTTATTCTTTGTATGAGGGTTCGACATAGGAACATTAAAAATTAACCAATGGGGAGGAGGGAGGATGGGAGGGAGGCGGAGGAGGGTAAAGTGGGATAAATGGTCATTGAAAAATATAATAAAAACTGAACTATTCAATTTTTTTAACAAAGCAATCATATTTTTCAGTCTTTCAGCTTTTGGTTAGCTACCTCTTTGTCTCTCGTGTTCTTACAGAATTACGAGCAAAGCTACTCTCTAAAAGTTAAATTTATGTTGTATACTTTTCTAACTAAACAACTTTTACATTATCCCCTTTAGTCATTAACTGAAATAAAGAAGTAGACTTAGTATTCAAATGCATGTGAACACTTCTCATCATTTTTATTCAAATCGGGATCAGCATGCATCTCTTGCATTTCGTTTGGCCAGTGCATCTCCAAAGTCTCTTTTATTCTCTGAGCTTCCCTTTCATCTTTTTTCCCCATTGTATATATGTCTTTTATTTTATTTATTTTTATTTTTATTTTTTGATTTTATTTTAATTGTTGTTCAAGTAGTTTTCTGCCCTTTACCCCCATCCCAGCCCTCCCCACCTCCCTCCCATCTCCACCCCGCCCCCTTGTTATTGTCCATGTGTCCTTCATCCTTGTCTGATTCTCCGTGTGAGTGCCTCTGCGTTTTTGTTCTGTTTGGGTGTTTTTGTTTGTCCTGTAGAACACTGATTCTTAACCACAAATGAGCATATGCATCACTTGGAGAGCCCATCAAAGATTCTCATGCAGACCTGGGTGGGGCAGGGGCCTGCCAGGTTAACGAAGACCGTGCAGTGCCCATGTGCCTGCTCCCTGGGCTACACTTTTGGGCAGTGAGGCTGTAGAATTCCCTATGTTCTGGAATTTTGTTGATTTCATATATGTTACTTGTGTTTTCTGTCTAGGGACTTGCATAGAACCTGATGAAGACACTATTTTAAAGACCTCGACCAGTATGGGCTATAGTGCTTCAAACATATTTCAGAACATTACACAGCATATGTTCAGTCTAACAGATATGCAGTTCAGAAAAAGGTGAAGGGGAACTTCGGGTGAACTATTTCAGTGAAATTTCCGCTGGTCCCATTTCTGACGTTGTGCTTTGTTCTTACACATCGCACAATGCCAAACTCAGAGCAAGATCCCTGCTGCCTGCCACCCAGATGCTGTATTCACCTCAAATTGTTATTCAAAGGGATGAAAGTGAGGCAACAAGGTAGTCTAAGAAAAAGTGGTTTCTACTTGTTTATCCAGTAGCTCATCATCCAATTCATTTCACTCTTCTCACTTGCTTCATTTACTTGAGTTTCATGGTTGGAAGTGTCAGAGGAAGACAAGAAGGGACAAGACACTCAGAACGAGTGAGAAAGATACAAGCTTTCCTCTCTCTGCTCCTGGACCCAGGGGCTTCTCAGGTACCTGTCATCTTGTCTTCCTCAGGAGGTTTAGTTCCCCACATGGAATATGTCAAACACACACACTTATGCAGATTGATCGGCCTTGGCTGTTCCATCACCAGTAAATGGTGCTGAACACAGGCATTGTCATGGCAACAAGGAGGACATATCGTTTTCTCTTTAAAGTTACAGAACTTTAT